AATATTATTTTGTAATATTGTTGTATATTTTTTCTCATAGATTTTAAATCATATTTTCGTATCACAAGAGAAACTTTTGAGCTGTTGATACAACATATAGGACCATTTTTATTGCAAAGACAATTGTCCTAAAATACTACCAGCTAAACAAATTGCTATAGCTTTGTGGATATTTGGCAATCAACAAGTTTACAGGTTAGCTAGTCTATAAACTATAAACCCATACACCACAAGAACATCCAGCAACATTGCAGCAACATTGCAATGTTACTGCAATCTTGCTGCAATGTTGCTGGACGTTCTTGTGCTGTATGGGAATGCACGAAAGATGTTTTTGTTATCCTTAGTCTCTCTGTGTATAGTAAAAATAATAGATGATTGCAATCATTTTTAACGCAATTGAATTTATGCAATATTAATTATGTTTTATTTCAGATCCGTTGCAGACCGATTTGGACTATGCAAAGATACTATATGGAAGTGTGTATTTAATGTGGCTTACGTACTGCAAGAACACGCTGAAAACTATATAAAATGGCCACAGCATTACGAATTATTACGTATACAAAAGCAATTTGCTGTTATGAGCAATTTTCCAGGTGTAGTAGGTGTATAGACGGCTGTCACATTTAGTGCTCCTATTGAGCATCCAAATACCTACATTAACAGAAAAGGATTTCATTCGATAATACTACAAGGTATTTGTGATTATAGAATGAAATTTATCGATGTTTTTACGGGAATATGTGGCAGTGTCCATGATGCACGAGTGCGGCGCTCAAGTGATATCAAAGACATGATTGACCATGATGTTGAAAGATATTTTCCACAAAATACACATTTGTTAGGTGACTCTGCGTACCCACTATTACGATATATACTGATCCATATCGTGACAATGGTCATTTAAATAATACACAACGCAATTATAACACAAAATTATCATCAACTCGTATTACGATAGAAAGGGCGTTTGGGATGTTGAAAGGACGGTTTCGAAAATTACGATATGTATATGTCTACAATACCGAAATAATACCTTTACTTGTATTAGCATGTTGTATTTTGCATAATATTTGTATCGATAACGAAGATGAACCATTTGAAGACATTTTAGAGCCAATGGAAAACGAAAATCATAATAATGTTCTACAAGGTGATGAAAAAAAGAGATATTATTGCACAGTTAATATATTAATTTTATATGTTGTAACGGAGGCGACCGGGGGGGCGCGGCCGGAAGCAGAAAAAACTGCATACCACGCGCGAGAGAGAAGGAAATAGAGCCGCAGGTGGAAAATCGATAAATGGCGCGGTTGCCGCGTCGACGGCAGCCGGCAACGTCGCGCCCGCCCCCGCCACCTCTCCCCGCGCGCCTACATCCGGGGGGTATAAAAGCCCCTCCGGAGCAGGCGCTTTAACTCAGTCGACGCTTGGTGCTCTGACCGTCGACACCGTGCAGTGGGTACCTCCACAGGTATAAGCCGGAGTTGAATGGGTGCTCCTGTCTCCGGCTATATACCGAACCGGAGCACACAGCGGAGGCTCTACTCCGTTGTGGGCCCCGTCCCTCGGTAGCGTACGCCTAACGGGGTGCTCCTCGGCGTACATGTGCTACAATTTCCCCGTACCGGTCTCCTGTTTCCGACCTGACTCCGTTCCCCCCGTAATCGCGGGTACCGCCGTGTTTCGCGGGGGCGGAGTGTTTTTCGCAGTAGCGTACACCTAACAGGGTGCTCCTCGGTGTACAATTGCTACTGAAAAATTCACGCATCACGAGGCGCCGCTCGGGCGTGATCCTGTCCTGACCAGATTCCTTTTCCTGATTCCTGACCGGTGTAGAACTCAGGGGGGTAATATTCGGGTGGGAAGAATATTTCTCATTAGCTCTAATAGTAAGCTCCGTAGTATTAATCCCATTACTATTTTTTCCCTTGCAGACCAGAGGGGTCCGTGCAGTCATCCTGCCTGACTGTTTCCAGTATTACCAGTGTAATTCCGTACTTTCCGTACCTCGTTATAAATCCGTATTGTACTCATTATTTTCCGTACTGATTCTGTACTTTCCGTACCTCGTTATAAATCCGTATTGTACTCATTATTTTCCGTACTCCGATTTAATTCCGTATCATACTCATTATCTTCCGTACTCCGATCAAAATCCGTATTGTACTCTGTTCGAGATTAATTTGAATCTCGTTTATTTCATCCCCGGCGTGATGGCAGCATCAGCCGGGTCAGATCGTGCAGCGCCGCATGAACGCTGCTCGCGCATGCCCGATCGCGACGCGAGGCGACCGCGCGACTTCACGTACGTTACCGGCGTTCTTTGTCTCATAGCGACCGTACGTAGTACACGCGTCTTGAAGTGCGGATAGTTATCAAGTGCTCTTTTGTGGACTTTCTCATTTTCTCATCGAAGAATAGACTCAGTGCGGACACGTAGTGAACTCTCAGCAGTGCGAATCATCCAGGACATTTAGCTACAGCATCAA